TTATGACGACCGTATAATCCGACAGAGCGCATGATCTGAGAACAATGAACAAATCAGCATAAGAAACATAGCAGACTGGGTTATAGGCGGTTGAACTCGAGAGGCATACCAGGCGGGACAACTAGATAAGAGCACGGATAGATTGATCGAGTCTTGGGCTTTCATCAGTCCTATTTGGAATGCGATCCCGCATATAACTTCCAATCAGGATTTTAGTGACGTTTTGAATGCGTATGTGGTCTATACAATGAATTGCTTTGGCCAGCCGATGTACAAATCACAGTGCTTGTATCCTCCAGATGAGTATGGTATCAACGTATAGAAGGCTCGCTTGGCCTAGGCGGATATCAACCCGGGATGAAATATGGCGTTTTGAGTAACTTTTATACTAAAGCTCAGTTTGTACTTGTAGTGGAGTTTTACATGTGTTGGATACTTTGGTTTCTGAATTGACTCGCTTCTGCAATATTCCGTAAGACGAGACAACTAGCAAGGAATCTCCTCTCATGTGAGAGGATCGAGCACAACGCTGCATATCTTTGTAGATTACAATGAGAGTAGGGCGGAAGGCCTTTTGAATGAGATGTTACCGCGCCTATGGGCCAGCTGAATCAAACACGAGCGTATTTATTGCTGAATTACTAAACGGCTTACTAAGAGGATGCTCAGTAAGTCGTGCTTTGTTTGTTTTGATGACTTTACAATTCTGTCACTTTCCACTATCGTGGAAAACAGTTCGTCGATAATGGGACTGTGGTGATTGAAAACTGGTCATTCCCAGCAGGTCTAGCCTGTGAAACCACCTAAAAACTCTGTGAGTTCAATGGCTCAGTGAAGTTTGTTTTGTTCAAGCGGTAACTTGAGGCGGATGTCTCACCTTTGTCTGGATGTGTTCAAGGATTTCGTATTCATTCGTTTGCCTGGAGCTGTCACAGCGGACCTGGAAAGATCATTTCCAAAAGAGGAATAAATATAAATAAATGAAAAGGTTTCAGTATATATCAATTACTTACCTGTCAGTACTTCACATACGCTTGGGACGTTGAAGTTACTAACCTACGACAGGTGGCTGTAGCCTAATGTATATCTTAAAACTTTTGTTTTCTTGGGAATGAAAGATGAAGGGATCGGTGGCCGAGGTTTTGTTTTGGCACTTGGTCCGCGGATCGTATACTGTTTTATCAAGGTAATGCGCGTTATGATCAAAGGGGGTCCTTAGGCCGGGGGCTGGTCTCGAACCATGCGCCTTTCGTTCATCATACACCATAGACTGTTTGATCTCATTCCGCGTTTCTTCCTGGTGTTTCAGTGACAGCGCGACCTAAGTTCATATTTTTTTCAACCTTTTTTTTCTAGCACTTCGAAAGTCATCAGGAAACAGAATGGCTGCTTTCATAGTCCGCCGGCCNCGCCGGCCGGCGGACTATGAAAGCAGCCATTCGCACACATATAAGCAGAAATATCAAAAACATAATAAAAATGAACATGGCCCCTACCTAGCCACCTGGTCTCATTACCTGTTTGAATTCGTAGAGAACAATCATGACGAAAATATTGATCAGGATCAATGTTGCAGTATAGAGGAAGGTCATGAAGATGAGAAACGCTAAATAGACAACAACTATCGCTCAGTGTTGATTTCTGAATACATTCTAACTCCTAAATCAAATTTCGGATTTTGGAAATAAAAAAATTCAAAAATTGCTGATCCTATCTATGGTCGTTTCTATTTCGTTTCATTGTGAATCCATTAACATATCATCACAAATGCCTATGTTTAGTACGAGCTGTGTGAAAAACGCGAGAACTGCGAAAACGAGGCAACTAGTCCGCGACCGCCGCGCGCGGTGATCACTTGACCGATGCAACTGCCCGTCTCTCTTGCTTAATAACTCAACCTTTCATGCTTTTTATGCCGATGGCTTTAATAACACACCTCTGGCATTCTAAATAAAAATACATATAAAAAAGATTAAAAATACACAATACATATAAATAAATAAGTGAGAAATACGTTGGTGCACGTGGACGCCATGAAAAGTTTCCCATGCAGTTTTAAAGTGTCAGTTCACGATATCGAATTCGGAAACAAATTACCCAGAGGGCTAATTTGGAACATGTTGGCCACGACGAATTTCCCTAACATTCCGGATGTTGTTGTTGCAAAAGTAGCAATGACGGATTGGTAACTGAAAAGAATCCCTCCTGTAGGAAAAGAGCATGATTTCGTTGGCTGAAGCACCTCGCCAGTCGATCCCATAACAGGCAGTAGAGGGAGGCGTTAAAGGCGCAGATGATGATCACGAAGACAACGGCAAAGTCGGTAATTGAAACACGAGCGTAGTCCAGGGTATTTGCCAGTACAGATATGCGACGATTGAATCTGAAATAGGGGAGAGTTTCATAGTGATAAGCTGAAGTCAGTGAATGAAATCAATGAAGTCAATGAAGTGAATGAAGCACTCGCCATAAGAAGAGCCTGAAAGTAAGGAGGGTAGCCCCTAAAGTATGACAGCAACCAGAGAGCTCCAGCATTTCGGTCAGCTACCAGATGTGGCGAAAAGGTCATCAGTGGGAAGAAAAGATGGCTCATAAGCTTCTCCGGTACGGACTGGACGGGAGGATAAGGGTTTCGTGATCTTTTGAGCTAGAAACACCGCCCCAGAGGGTAAGCCCATATTTCAACTGGCAGATTCAGCAAAAATTCGCTACTGAGAAGTAGGGGAGGAGCGTAACTCTTTCTGGTCATTGGTAGACTGTATGGGGAAGGGCGCGGGATTGGGATTTCAGCATTTCCAATATCGACATTCAATCAAGTGACAGAAACACTTAACCGTAAAATCTTGATCATCTTGCAGGCAACAAAAAACACTACGCCCGCAAGGCAGAACGTAAAGAAAAGTTCCATGTTCCTTTGAAGCGCCAGGTTGATGTAGACGTTGCCATTAGTAGCAGCGAAAGTTTTCAATGCCTGTAAAACTTGTAATAATAAAGGGTTGAGTATATCCGACAGGAACCCTGGTTCTCTTCTTTTTCATGATATGTTGTTCATCGTTCACCCTTCCGACAGGCTGAGACCCACACCTAGGCTCAGAAGAAGGGGAGCTCCGCAGCTAGAGGTGAAGTTGCAATGAAGTCGGAAGTCAACCAGGGTTTCCCCCTATTCCGTGACGTCGGTTTACGTAAGCTCCCGGGGAAAGCTAGTGCAATTACAGAAGCGATTCCATGAGCCATGGAATCATCAAGTACGCTGCTTTTCACAATCACCTCACCATCACATATCTCCAAGTTTTCACTAGCACAGCACTGCTTGCTCTTAGAATAGGCTCCCTAAATGTTACCCTCAATCCAATGTCAAGCAAGATGTCAAGGAAGTCAATGTGATCGGCTCCTTCATTACCGAAATATACATCAGAAATTCTCGTCCCCACACCCACTCCTCGCATCCCCCTCCCCCACCTCCCCCGTTCAGCGAGAAAAGTCTTCGAAAAGCTACAAAACAGTTCTCAAAATCTTCACCCCTTCGCACATGAGACATCTACTCCCAATTAAGGAATCCTTTCAATTTAAATTTCGTGGAATAAACTTGACCAGTAGACGCACCATACCGTCTGTGAAGGCCGAATAACAGCATTCAGGAAGTTTGGATCAAACATGACGAGGAGGTTCAATACATCTCAAGTTTTAGACCTCTAAACTTGCCATTCCCTTGAAAGTATACAACCTACCTTATCGATGTATATTTCGCGAAGGAAGAATGCTATAACAGAGAGTACTGCAAGAATACCGACAAACAGATCCACAATGTCCCAAAAACGTCTGAAGACAGTTCTTTTTTAATGGATTGTTATAAATCACAAAGAAACCAAAAAGACTCACGCTATGAAGAGATGTATGAAAAGTCGTACGATGTGATGACCTGGAGGACGATTTTGGTATGCAGTAACGACGTTTGAAATGTAAGTTATTGTGTTCACAAAGAAACTCAATACAGCATAGATGACATAGAGAAACT